AGACACCTGTCTTTCAAACCAAGACACCAAGGAACTTCCAAACAGACCAAACCATGCTTACGATGGATACCAGGTATCCACGTGCTGGCAGGTATTTCAGAAGGAAGGACTGTTACGAACCGCGGGCCTCGACGTCGTACTCCTCCCCTTCATAATCGTTGTCTGAATCTTCATCGTCTGGGTCTGGGTGCAGAGCTTGGCATTCACACATCGCTGAAAACATGGCGTCCACTGCCGGAACACAACCAACACAAACCTCCCTCGTTTCTCCAACAACACCCCACAACCACAGGCAAGAAATCCTGGACCGAGTGATCAGAGAGATTGAGGATATTCCTTTACCAGAACCACTATGGAATTTGTTAGGTGAAAGCATCGCCCAAACAAGACAGCAGAGAAACAACACAGGTTTCCTAGATCCAGCCTCCTGGATCCAGTTTATCCCCTTAACAGCACTCTGCCGTTAGCACATTGATGATAAGGGCTTATCTCTGGACAATTCAGCCTGTGGTCACCCACTACAGGGTTCCTTGCAGCATTTAATATAAGAGATTCTTAAAATCTGCATCCAGCTGTAAGTTCCCCACCGAACGGGATACGCCCGCTTTCCACTGGAAGTGTCTGGACATTAGCAAGTGCCTAAGGAAACTGTCGCTGACTCAACTATCCCTGAATTTGTAATTAAAAAGGTGTCTCCTGTATCAGTCCTCTGCAAATGCACACCCATAGGATCATCCGTGTCATGTTTTTATACTGAAATGTCTCTGTTTTACAACACTGGAATATTCCTTGAGAAGCAGCTGCTTGAAATATTCCAGCTTCAAGCAAGATAAAAGAATTTGCTTTATTCTTTTCAGCACAGAGAAATCAAGTAATTAGAGAAGGACACTAAAGGATCACACCATTCACATCTCCACACCCCAGCATCTTCCACGTATAGCCAGGACTTCAAGCTAAAATGCGATTTCCCCCTTCACTTACGGGCTGATTTGTCGCTGGGTACAAATCTGAATTCTGCAATTGGTTCAACGTCGTCATCGCTATCTTCCTCTTCCTCCCCTTCAGCCACAGCAGTCTCTTTTGTCTCCTCTTCTTCAGGAAATTGAAAGATATATAAGAGAAACGTGTTTATTTTGTCCAAAAGAGTCATGTCTGTTTATTCACGCCCGGAATCACACACTTCAATCAGAAACTCGGACGCAACCTGAGAGAGGCACAAACCAACCCACTCCCATCCACGTTACGGACGTACGAGTCCTCTCACAGCGCCACACCACCACCTGCAACGCACACACAAACTCCTCTATTTATGATTTCAGGATTTTAGATTTCCGTAACATCACATACTTCAGGAAAACTGCCCGGTTCTTATTAAAAATGACTGCGCTCAAAACCCCCACAGTTCACCGTCATCGTTGACCTGCACAATGCTGTAGTATCTTTTCAGTCACATGAATTTTACAGCTCACGGAATGGCAGGGGTTGGAAGGGACCTCTGGAGATCCTCTAGTCCAACCCCCCCGCCAAAGCAGGTCGCACAGGACTGCGCCCAGGCGGGTTTTGAATCTCTCCAGGGAAGGAGACCCCACAGCCCCCCTGGGCAGCCTGTTCCTTAGCACTACTCTCATGAAATCAGCCCGCCTCCAGCGCGGCCTCTCGCAGAGGACTGTGACATTCACAGACGATCTCAACTCCATGTCTTGACACTCCCAGCCAGCAGCAAGATGTCAGAGGTAGAAAGTGCCCCCAGAGCTAATGACATCTGCGGGCAAAACCGCCCTTCCCTACTCTGTGCCCTACCTACACGAATACGTAAGCGACAACACGACAATTTCGCTTTCCATAAACATGAAAACCACGAAAACGACGGCCGCAGTTCAGCACTTTGTGGCTGGGGACACTGCACTTGCACCCACAGCCTCAAAAGCACGTAACTATTTTCCACAGAAAGAGAGGGACACGGTTAAGGCTGTTCCCCAAGAGCAGCTTTCATCACATACAGAACTGGCATCACCAAGGACGTAACGAAGCCAAGAAGCTGCCAATCAGCTGCCCCAAAAACGAAGCGACCCGATCCTTTTCCAGCTGACACCCCCGGGCACAGCTTGTCGCTGCTCAGTCCAGCCCCTTGTTTTCAACGAAGTCAACCTCTGACGGCCTTTTTCTGCAACAGGGGCGAGGGGAAGGCACACACCCGCAGAGAGCGCAACAAAAACTTTCTGAGGAAGAACAAAACGTACTCTGCCCGACTAAGAACGACGCCTCTCGCAGCCAAGAAGTGGAGAGGTTTGGGTTTAACGCTAGTCAGCAGTTAAAAATGCAGGCCAGACTTGAAAACTAAACCTACTTGCTGCAGAAGATTTACTGTAGCCAGAGTTCACGTTAAAAAAAAAAACAAACCACAACAAACTCCCACCAAAAAAACCCAACACCAAAATGAGCCCGTTAAGGATTTATAGGTAAGAGCTATCACAGCCTATCTGTATTTTCAAACACTATTATCAGACTGAATTAAAAGCTGGAAACAGTATCCTGCTTCAGACTAGGTTCGGTTTATTTCAAAATAAACACAGTTAAAGGAAAATAAGGAAGAAGAACCAAGACGTGTACGTAGACATCCTCTTATTATTTGTAGTGATAAGAGCGTCAGAGGCCATTAGAAACGTGAGAGAAGGAAATAATGAAGCATATTAATAGCTTAAAAACTCCTCTGCCTCCTCGGAGTCTTGTCAGCACTTTCAGTATATAAACTATTTAAAGAAAAATTAAATGCCAGATTTTAACCTTTAATTACGATGGGCAGGAAGGGGAAAGAAGTCCTGCTCAAGACTGAACACTTGTTGCTCTTCAATTGAGACGGTAGTTTATGACACATCTAAAATATTAACAGGTCTGCCAGAAGAAAAAAAAAGCGGATACATCAAAAATATAGAAAATCTTCATACAAACTATGAAACAGAAACCTTGTTTTCTGTAGGCTAACAGGTTGGTTCCGTGGGAAATGTACAAAGATCCATTAAGCCTGGAAACACGAGCTATTGTCTCTTTTTTTTTGTTGTTAAGCAAGCTGTGGGAGAAAAGGAATGAAAGCTTCCAGGCTGCTGCCTAGGAATCCATACAGCCTGGAGAGGGCAGCAGAATTAACATAAATGTAATAAAGCAAAAACGACACCCAAGCTGGAATCACAGGGAGACTGCGGAGGAACTAGACTGGTTCAAAGGAGCCTGAGAGAGGAGAGAACCGATTCTCAGCAGCTCCAGCTGCACGTAGTCATGTGCTGAGAGCAGAACAGCACAGAAGTGACTCCAAACAAGGGCAAAGCTACACTTGTAAACCAACTGTCCTTGTAGGAAACGAAAAGGAAAATACAAGCTATTATGTAAATGAAGCATATAATTTTCAAAACCAAAATTCACTCTTTTTGAAGAGGAAATGACGCCGCTCAGGACCGTGCGGGAACACTAAGCAACGCTCCGGGCGTACCTTCGAATTTGGCGTTCACCATGACGTAGAGGTGCTCCCAGGGGTAAGCGCTCAGGTCCCTGGAGACGGCGTGTAAACTTATGGTGGGGTAATCCAAGGAGAAGCCAACTCCGGAGTTTTCCAGCCAAGACAGGCGGCTAACAAGGAGGGGAAGGGAAAGAAAAAGAGACACAAGTTAGAAACTATCAGAGGAATCCAAAGTACCTGACTCACACCTGCAGAAAAGCAAACCAACCCCAAAAAAGTGAGTAATTCTGGCCAAGTCCCTTACCCCACTCTCCAGTAACACACGGTCCTGGACCTGCCCTGACAGGACCTTGCAATGGCATCAACAGAGGGCTGAGGCACAAGAAACCTTTTCTTACAGAACGTGAAGCTGAGCACCCTGAACGCATTTCAGCTTTATCACATTTGCACTAAACCCTGAATTTCCCTCCCTGCCTCTTTCGTTTCCTCCTCCCTGCAGACACCTCTCATCCCAAAGAGACCTACAGAGGTTCCGGAGTGTGATTTATAACTCCAACTATTAAACGTTCTGTGGTTTTTCAAGATAAAGAGAGCACCAAAAGGAAAGTCGCTATTGTAACTTCTGGAGGATTATACACCTGACACGGGTATAGCCTGTATGTAGAAGAACAACCGGCTCTGTGATCAGCAGAGCTAACAAAGCCAGCCTATGGTTTTCCCCCCATATAGCAACTTCTGTGCTATAACCTCTGCTTCCCCCCATTTTCACTCTCATCCCGAATTACAGCAACAGACAGCACAGGTTGTCGCCACTGGGCTGCCACCTCCTTCGTATCAGAAAGGGCAAGAAAGAGCTGTCTTTCTAGCAGCCAAGGAATCAAACCCAAGCTAGTTTTGGGTGTCTGCGATCAACGAGGTCACCCAGCGAACAGAAATACCGAGGGGCAGAAAGCAAGACCTCCGCCACGCACGAAACCCAGCGCTCATGAGTTTTTGTGCGGGGACAAAAGCAACGAGAAGGTCACAGAAGGCTCCTCGCCTCGGGAAATCGGGCTGAGAGCAAGAGCGAGCGAAGTGGGAGCGAGGAATTTCTTCCCTAGCCTCAACCAGCCAGTTCTCAATGTTTACAGCTGTTGACGTAGAGTCAGGACGCGGCTCCAAAGCCTCATTGTCCTCCTGGGCGGCTGGTTCTCCTGCAGCGCAGCGCTCCTGCTAACGCTGGCGTTTTCTATTCAGCACCAGCAAGCGACCCTGGTGGAAGCTCTGCGACGCGCTCGAGCCGTGTTGAGAGGAAGCTGGCAGCCTCGTAGGTGCCTCGCACAAAAATCTATTGAAAGCAAGTTACGAGGAAACCCAACATTATACACACTGGGAGCAGATGCTGCCTGAACAGAAGCCCTTTCATCTGCGACCAAACCACTAAACAAAACGGTAACTGAAATGCCAGAGAGATTCCTCTCCCAGCGGAACACAACATCGCTAACAAGTTCAGGTGGGGCAAAAGCCCCTCAAAAATATTACTCATTTTATTAACGCTTTGTCTAAGGTTTCAAAAGACAATTCACTCCTCAGTGCACGTTTCAGACGGCGCTTTTGTTCTAACAACACTCTTCTGTTGCAGAAATAGATTAGTTCGAATATTTTTCCATGGTTAAAGAATATCACGTTGCCTTAATCAACACGCTGTGTTCTTGAACTGTACGATGCAGGGAGGATTTAAACTACAAAGAGCTCAGATAACATCTTTCGGAATAACCAAACTGACTTCTGCCTCGTAAGAGCATACAGGGTCTGCCTGATTAGCGCGACAGGAGAGACTTCACAGAACCACAGCAGTTACTAACAGCAGAAAACCGACAGCCCCGTGCACTCCCCCGCCGTGTTTGTGGCGCACCGGCCGGCCCGTCCCCCTTTGCTGGGCCGTTTTTTCTTCCTCCTTAAAACACCGTTTAGAGCAGGAATAGCGGGGACCCCCCTCATAGCTTGCCCCTCACAGCCCTCTCTGAGGGACTCCCCCACACGGCAACCCCCCTTATCCGAGTCCCCCGCATCCCCCTTCGGGCAGGTCCTCTCAGGGGACACCCACCCCA